GGGGGGGGGGGGGGAGATAAAGGAAGAATATGAAAGTACTCTACATGGAGAAAACCTGCAATCCCTTCTCCATTTCTCCTTTTGGAACTTCAGGCACACATGTACCCAGCGTGTTTCTCAAGCTGCTGGGTTTTGGACTTGTACCATGCAGTTGGCCATGTGGCACCAGCTGCCTTCACCACCACCCCACTGACTCGCACTCCTTTTCTTTTACTGATATTGTCTTAATTTTATGCTTTGTTCATTCTGCATATTTTCCTGGGCCTTCTCATCCACATCTACGGCTTTACGTGTGTCTTATTCTCTTGTCTTCTACATCTGTATTATCTCATGTAGACTTTTCTCTGAGTTCTAGACCCTTATTTCTAAGCTACATCATGTACTTTTCTATTTACCTTTTCTGTAGGTATCTCAAATTTAACCTGCCCCTCACATTATATTTCTCTCCCAAACTTGTTCTTTTTACTGTGTTTAGTATTGCAGTTAATGACCATATGCTCCTAGTTTCCCAAGATTACAAAAAAAATGAGAGCCATTTATTGATTCATGAATTCATCTAATCAAAGGTTATTAAAAGGAAATGAATAGTATTTATGAGAATGTCTTCTTTCAACTAAGTCCTCTGAAATAACCATTCTTTGACGCATGAGTGGAATAATGGTGTTTCAGAATGTTTTATGGACATAGTAGAAAAACAATAGTCTGTTCAGATGCCATTTTTCTATTAAGGAAATAAGATATCTAGCACATGTAAGGCAAATAGTGCCATGAAGCTTAATTCTAGTGGGAAAAAAAAAAAACAGATCAATATGTTTACAACTAAGTAATAAAGTTACAGCTTTTGATAAAGCCAACCACAAAGGAACCAACTAGAGTGCTACATGCTAAACAATAAATTGGGAGGCCCATCCTAGAGTGAATGGTCAAAGAAAAGTTCTGTGTGTTTAGCTGGGATGAAGGATAAAAAGAAGCCATACATTTCAGTTGCCAGAGAAAGAACAGGTATACGGAAAGAGCAGCAATCACAAATACCCCGTGGTGGAGAAGGGCTCGTGTTCCAGGGACTGACATAAGGTCAGTGTACATGGAGAGGAGAGAAATATAGGGTGTGGCGAGGATACAAAGGGAGTCAGGGGACCGCATTTGCAGGATTTCATGGACCCTGAAAGGAGTTGGGATGCTGTCCCATATGCATTGGGAAGTTACTGAATGTCTTTAAGAGTGGCATAACCTGTTTCACAAAAGAACATCTGACTGTAGGGTGGAGCGTGAATTAGAAAGGGTGACAGTTTGGAAGTGAAGAGATTGAAAGTATGGAAATGTTCCAGATTAGTCATGACAAGGGTGCAGAATGTGAGTGGACATGATGTATTTTCATTGCTATTTTTTTTCTGTATTGTCCACTGTTTAATCTCAGTTTCATTTCTGTCTTTTGAGGATTCCATGCCATATGGAGCTCTCCACATCCCAGGACCTTATCACTCAATCCTGATGGTTATGATTCTTATTCTTTGGGTTCTTAACTGGCAGTGAAGTTAGTTATATGATAGCTGACAAGGAGAACGTACAGTAGTTTAAGAAGCAGGCTCCAGCGGCTAACTGGTGGTACGGCAGTCATGTAGTCATGTAACTCTCCGTGAAGCTAATCCACGTGGGAAAGTTCAGGGATCCAGTCCAGAGGCTACCTTGAATATGCGGGGTGCATGTGTGCCTGTGATTTCAGGCTGGCTGATGCTGGGGTGGATGACGGTGTTAAGACTTTTCGGGGAGTGCTCTCTCTCTGTTTCGGCTGCTCTCATTTATGGAAGGAAGGAATACATAACCTTTAAAAAAATGAAATGAAAGAAAGGATCTAGAGTTAATTTCACTTGGCTCAGAGCCATGTTCAATGACGTATTAGCCGGGAAATTTTGGGCAAATTGCTTAGCCTTTGTGTTTCGTTTTATCCAACTACAAAATATGAATAATAGTGATAATAAATAAGTGGTCGAATTGATCTTTTATAAAATCTGTCTCTCAGGAACCAGCAGTTAGCATAATGGCTATGTCACTGGACTCCCACATAGTCGACCGTGGTTCCCGTCCCGGACCCGGTGGCTTAGAACTCATGCCGGGCGCGCGTGCATGCGTGCCCAAGATCCCGAGAGGAGAATGGAGGAGAAGGGATTGCGGCGTGACCATCCCCCCCGGGGGGTGATTTCTTGCTTTCTGTCTCTATGTCTCTCTGTCTGTCTGGCGAGCGCACGCGCCCTATATCGAAAAACCTCTCCAAAAAAAAAAAAAAAAATCTGTCTCTCAAATGTTTCTTTTATTTTCTATTATTGTTCTCCTCTGTCTATATTAGACCCTAACTGCATTTCTTAAGAAATATATACATTGTCTTTTAACATTTGTCTTACCAGTTTTCTCATAGTCATGGCAGACTAACATTCTCAAAGTATAGAGCTATTCTTAGCAACTTTTGTTCAACAGCTGTTCACGCAGAAGAAAGTTACGAACTGGCAAAGGATTTATATTCAGATTATGTAAAGAATTCCTGTGGATAAGAACAAAAGCAGAACACCCCGTAAAAATGTGAATGAGTGACTAAGATAGAGAGTCAATGGAAGAGGCTATCCAAATAAGTAATAATTGTAAGAAAAGATTTTCAACCTCAATAGTCATCAAACAAAAATTAAAACTACTATTAAACCCATAAAAATTACTACAATAAAATACCTTGATATTCCCACATGTTGTTGAGAATGTTGAGCCAGTGTAATACTCATACAGCTAAAGGAACAGTAAATTGATACAACCACTTAGAAGAAACTAGTTGTGATCTACAAAAGTTGAATATAAAACATACATACACATAGATATACATATATATTTTAATGATAAATCTTTGATTTTTTTCCATTTTCAAGGGAATATACTGTTTATCTTGAGAAAAATGGTTAAATAAATTATGTCATATTTTACTACTGAATACTATGTAACAATAAAAATTTTAAAATAGTACTGCTACATACTAAAACATGTATCAGTCCCACAAATATAATGGCATAATGAAATAGGCAACATTAATGTATTAGATGTTGAGAAGTTAAGGTGGTGGTCATCCCTGGGCAAGTGAGCGAGGTTCGTGATTAAAAAGAGGCATGAGGAAGCTTGTCAGGTTTGTTGGTTAGTCTTTACACAATTGTGTTTCACTGGTGTAAATGAATCAAGTTACAGATTTATGATTTCTGTATTTTCAGCTGTATATTCCCTTGAAAATTGAAAAAAAAATAAAAGATTTCTGATTAATCTACTGTCTTAGGTCATTCTCTTCCAATTGGCACTTAAGCATACCTAATAGGATTATTTTTCTTTTATTATTTAAAGAATTATTTAATTTTATTCATCATTATTGTTTCTTAATTTGCTACAGGACACACATGCTCATTAGATAAAGAGGGAAAGTGAGAAAACTAGCCACTGGTCTGGGACTTAAACTGCAGACAGCCATGTTGGAGTCCAGTACCTTAACCACCACACCACCTGTGGGTCCCCCCAACTACCTTTCTTGTTGTTTTTTCTTACATCTTTGCACATGTCCTGTGTTTTCAAC